AGACCGAAATCGAATTCGAAACAAGAACAAAACACGGACTTTTCGCACCACAAAATACACGGAGAAATACACGAATATTGGCCCCTGAGAGTGTGTCTGTCTTTGAGGTGGTTTCGGGCATAATTAAGTGCAAATCTCTGGGCAAATTGACTGTCTGTGGCAGCTGCTGCTGTTCGCTGTGGCACAACCACTCACCTCTCCCCCCACCCAGCCCCCCATTGACTCATTGATTGAGTCAACAAACGAAAAATCATTTAGCCAAAAACGAACATTTGGCCGATCGGTCGAGAGCCCCGACCGGGACGGACAGACCGACTCTGCGGCATTTTAACCCAATTTTTGTTTGGCGTTTTTTTCCTGGCTCTCTGGCAAATTGAACAGAATTTAATTGCTTGGCCCCCACCACCGCCCCAGCACCCCAGCTCCCCAGCACCCCAGCACCCCACTCGCTGACTCTCTCTCTATCTCTTTCTATGGGGCCAACGATGATCACCGTTAACAGGCCGAACAGTTTTCAATTTTATTAATGAAGTCGTAAAGTTGCAAAAGTTTATCACTGCAGCTGCAACAGAGGCAGAGACAGAGGCAGGCTCTCACTCTTGAGAGAGGGAGAGAGAGAGAGAGAGAGAGTTTCTCGTGCCCCACTCTCTTTCTTGCTCTGCCTAATTTTCGATGTCATTAATTTTGACTCGGAATCTCGCCGAGACTCCCATTCCCATTCCCCCAATTTGGTTTTCTCCATGGTTTTTGGCACAGTTTTTTTCACTCCGACACGCAATGCAATGGGAGTAGGAAAATTCAGAGCCACTCTCACGGACATGGAGCGAGGGAGAGAGGGAGAGAGAAATGGAATGGATTGATCTCCTGCTTTGTCTCTCAATCGCAGGCTTGTTTTCCCTTCTTTCCAGCACAGACAGTCGCCAAGAAACGATGGATCGCCAGTTGATCGATCGATTCCAGCCAATCGATTGGCAATCGATAAGAATCGAACAAGTGCAAGATCGATATTCGATGAGATCGATCCCCAATCGAATCGAGAAAAGGCATCCATTTGTCATGAGAATTCACTCTCGGGAATCAGAAGAAGCCCCTTCCCCATGGAGTGTCATTCCTGCTTGCTTGAATGCATCTGTGAGCATCTGTGAGCCATTTGCCACTCAGTTTGAGGCCCAAAGAGGTGTCAAAGTGTCCTCCTTTGCTTGAGATACTTATTGCACCTCAAATGAGCGCGAATAGCGATGCGAATAGCGTTAGATGAACACATCCTGGGAATCTCTGTGAATAAGTAAAACTCATTGCAAAGTGCCTCTCGATTTGATTGCCTCCAGTCACTTGACTCCTGTCAATCTGCTGGTGTGGCATTCATGAATATGCAGCAGGAATGCCATTAGCTTTTCCCTTCAGGAATCTACTGCTGTTGCTGCTGCTGCCATGTGTGTGATTTACATTATAATAATTAGTTTATGACAAAAGGCACGCGCTAGACTTTGACTTTGACTCCAGCACAGCTCTTGGCTCCTGGCACCTGCCACCTGGCACCTACTCGGCGGTAGGGATGTGCGGCATCAAAATTGCAAATGGAAAGCAATTTCCACACTTATTACAGAGACAGACACACGTGTGAGAGATGTGGCAAGTGGAGGCGGAGTGCGGGAGGGTTTCAGGCTTCAAAGATAGCACCAGAGACAGGGACAACCCCAATCCCAAACAGGGCCTGTGCCTCGAAGAAGGAATCTCTGGCTCGGTTTGTGCTGAAGGTGTACCAAATGAGGTGGCGGTGCGGCAGCACCTTGTCTCTCGATTGAGAATGATTTCCCAGAAGAACTTGTCGTTCCACTAGTTCCAGCTCCAGCTCCAGCTCCAGCTCCAGCTTCTGGCCTGCATTCGGCGGGCCTTTTCGAGTGAAATATTTTTGTTCAAAGTCAGAGCTGTCGAACGATTAGGAATTCAGAATGAATCTTACCTCTGACCTTTGAGACCTACAGCTACTCCTCCGCCGCGCGCGAAGAGCTAGATCTACTTCGAATAGATCTTGAGGGTAGCGTAGCGTAATGCTCGTACAGCCAAAAGGGTATTCCATAATCTGCCTGTCTGTGGGCTCAACCTCCTCCATGGCTTTTCGTTTGGTTTTTTTTGCATTTGTCATTTCAATTAGCAATGGACCCGAGAACCGAGAACCGAGACCCGAGACCCGCGATCCGTGGCTCTCTTTGTCTTTGCCTTTGTCTCTGGCGGCGGCTTTGGATCTGTCTATGGCTTTGGCTCTGTGTGTTTTAGCTGCTTGCTGCTCGACCTGTGGGCGTGAAATGAGTTGGCAAAACAATAAAGAACGTATGTACCGAGTACTCGTATATAATTTGTATAATTTAAAGTGCGCTGGAAAGGAAGGAGGGAAGGGAGACGGGGAGACGGGGAGAGAGGGGGGAGCATTAGCATTAGCATTCGCATTCGCAGAGATCTCTCGCCTGTTGTTCTGCATTCGGCATTCGGCATTCGGCATTAATGAGTGGCTCATTAATCACTCGCAGCAATTGGCAGAAACGCAGAGACCAGCTGAAATGGCATCGAATGGAGTGAATGATTGACTGAATGACTAACCGAATGACTAGATGACTGACTGACTGATGGACCAATAGGCAGCAAAGCAAATGTTATGCAAAAAAGCTCACGAAAACTATTGCATGAGAGAGAATCTCGCGAGAGATGGAAGATGGAAGATGGCGACGGCGACGGCGACGGCGACTCCCCCGCGGGCTGCTGCCTCGCGTATGGCGTATGATTAATTTTTGACTCGCAAAATCATTTTCCATTATGCAAAAAAGGAGTGGCGGAGCGGAGGAGCGGTGGATATCTTTGCGTGCCATGTGGTTTCCGCTAACTGTTGCACGCGCACACACACATATCCATATCCATATCCATATCCATATCCATGATGATAATTAATGAGCAAAACGATTCACGAAACACAAACGCAGGGCAGTGCAGTGCAGTGCGTATACGTGATGTTTCGTTACATAATCCAAAAAGCGAAAACCAAAGTCTATGCAGAGAGAGGATATCCATTCGTTTTCGTAGAGTGGGATCGGTATTTGGGGTAACACTCAAAAGAATCTCTCGCGTGGGTGTACCCGCATATGCAGTACCCCCCCAGTGGGCCTACAGGGCTACAGAAGGCAATCTCCCTATGGAAAGCATCCACAGATGTTTGGAAAGCGAAGGATGCTTCCTTCGTCTGTTGATGCGTATCTATCTATCGTATCACAGAACTTCTTGGGCATAAAAATAGCAAGTAACTAGCTATAAGACGGATCGATGTCTGGAATAGATATATCTAGCGTCAGATCGAAGTGTTCGATAATAATTCCAGCCTCACTTCAAGTGAATATCTCTTAAAGGAAGTCAAGGAGTTGGAACTATATTGGAACTTGATCCGCCGCTTAAGGACTCGCTGCTCTATCAGTAAATACGAGGGCTGGCCTTTGACCAGGTGTTCAAACATCCCCGGCGCCCCGAGTGTGTCTTCATTGCCCAACCTGTTCGATCACTCTTCGTGATGCTGCATTCAGGGATTTCTTGTGCAGCACGAGGCAATGAAAAATGCTTGAAAATTTGTATTAAACGCAAATCCACGGAGAAAGTTCAAAGGATACATTTTTTTCGGTCAGTGTATGAATTGAAGGTCTCCGCCAAGGATGGGGCTGTCTGGCATCGGCATATTGCCTTTTCTCATTCTCCCATCGAAAGTTATTTAAGATTAATTATAAAGACGCCCCCTCCCCTCCACTCCCATCCACTCCCCTCCACTCCCATCCACAGCAGTCGCGTGTGTATTTGGAGATTATGTTAATCAGAGTGTATGCACAAAAAGATGTATGTTTTTGCCGGCAATCAACTTAAACGATGCCCAGCACCAGCCCCAGCACCAGCCCCAGCACCAGAACGAGCCCCATTCCCCTCATCCATTGCTCTTTTCAATATGTGAAAAGTGTGGGGCCCAGGACTTTGAGGACTTTCAGGGCTTTTGCCTGCCTAAAAGTTACACAAACTCAATTTTGTAAAAGCGAATTTCATCCCCCTTCTCTCCCTTCGGTCGTAGTCTGAAGATGTTTTCACAACTTGCGCAAAATATTTATACAATTTTTCTCCCTCTTTTTGGGGACACAAACCCACAATATTTGAGAATGGATTAAGTGGGGGATGGGGGGAGGGTCCCATCCCCCCTCCAGTGCAGATTTCGGGACAGAGAAAGCAAAGCCCGAAGACCGAGACGGCTGTCCAGGTCCATTGCCGTGAGGCACACAAGCGAGGACGCCACAAAGGCAATGCCCGAGAGTGCAAAAAAAAATACGCACAACGAACGCGTGACGAGTCGCAGTGCCGCTATTGCCTCCTGAAAGGTGAAGGGTATTCAAATATATTCTGCCCATAGCTGCCTCTAATTCGAATTCTAATGCTGCTGCTGCTGCTGCTGCTGCTGGTCGGGCGGAGTTGTGTGTCTGTGTGTGGGAGGTTGCCCCATGGCCACCATGGCCACCATGGCCACCACTTGACAGTTGGCCCACACTCTCCAGAGCAGCACAGACCAGGCACTCACTCGTATTCGCAATCGCATTCGCATTCGCACTGGCATGAGTGTGAGTGCTTGAGTGTTGGCCAGAACTTTGGCGGCGGCGGCGGCGGCGGCTTTGGCACTTTGATCAGCGCGAATCCCACGCCGCAAGCATCAAGCGGCAAGCCACTGCTGCCACAACCAGACATGGCCATGGCCAAATCCTGTTTTCGGTCAAATGTTGGCCAACTAGACCTGCATATGGGCCACAATGTGTGTGTTTGCCCACAATTAACTCACTTGCAAAGCGCACAGTAATTGGCCATTGAATGGCTCTAGAATGGCTCTATACATGGTACGTGTGGATCCACATTCACACCAATTCCACACACCGTTTTCCAATCAATCATCGAAGTAACACTCTTTCCGGCCGTTCTTTTGCATCTTTCAGATGAGCATCGAATAAACTCCGGCTCATGGGAGGACACCTTGGACGATCAGCAACAGCAGCAGCAGCAGCAGCAGCAGACGTCCTCGTTCATCCACTCGCCGTCGTCGATCAATCCGGGGCACAACGCCAGCATCACAACAGCGCAGCTGCATAGCGCCTTCAGTCGACGCATTGCCGAGCAGCGGGAGCAGCGAGAGCAGCAGCAGCAGCAGCAGCAGCAGCAGAGGTCCCTTAACAATCTCTGTCTGAAGGCCAGTCCTAGCGCCAGCCAGGACATCGGCGCCCCCACAATTGCCGGCGGAAGCTTCAGCGCCAACGGTGGCCAGGCTGCCGTTGGTGTTGGCGTTGGCGTTGGGGCAGTCGTAGGCAGCAGCGGCGCCTGCAGCAGCACCAGCAGTGAGCGGGACAACAAGTCGCCGAGTCGTGAGAGTGAACGGGAGAGGGAGAGGGAACGGGAACGGGAACGGGAAGCACCCCCCACTGCGTGCCACTCCGACGAGGAGGTATTAACCGAAGAGGAGCAGACCAGCAGCAGCGTGAGTTCTTTAAGCGCCAACAATCAACGCAATTCGCAATTGCGTTCCACCTTCAACAAGGCCAAGCAGCATTTGTCCTTTGACAAATGGCGCACGGCCGGCACCGGCACCGGCACAGGCACAGGACCCGCTTCCGGTTCCGGTTCAGGCACAGCAGCATCAGCAACCGGCACTTCCAATAGCTCTGGACAAACGGCAGTCACAGATAGCAGCAGCAGCATGATTATGCGCAGGGCTAGCGCCTGCACTCTGCCCGCCTCTGGCGGCGGTGGGGGCACAGGCTCACAGCGCGAGGACCTCACGACACCCGGCGAGTCCCCAGGCGGACGGCTCTCGCGCTGGTTCTCGATACGTCGCGGCTCCACGCACCAGTACGATGTCCGCCAGTCGACGAATGCCAGTTTCGACACCCCAGATGCGGCTGCAGCGGCATCCGCATCGGCATCGGCGGCTGGTACCGCCTCGTCAAAATTAGGGGCAGGAACCGCGCAGGACAGCGCCTCGCCCGGTAAGCTCTGCACATTGGGCGCCAGCAAGATGATGCCCGGAGTACCGGAGGTAAGTAGTCCCCCCAATCCGAAGGAAAGCACCTAAATGAGTCCCTTGCCTTGTCCCTCTTTCAGAACGAAGATGACGAGGCATCAGCGGCAGCTGCAGTGGCCGGCAGTCGCTTCGACATGGACATGATGCTGACACCGGGAGGCAGTCGTGGAGCCGCCAATGGGAGTACCCGAACGGCCCACGGACGTCTGATCGTGCCGATGCTGCCCCCGGCACCGGCCGGGCTCTCGCAGCAGCAGCTCAAGCGGCGCCACATTGTGGCAGCCATCGTGCACAGCGAGAACTCGTATGTGGCTACCCTCCAGCGTCTAGTCAATGTGAGTACCAGGCAATGTCCGATGATGCTGGTGGAACCGTAGGGGACGGATGTGGAAGGGAATCCCCTGGAAGGAAGCTGCAGCTACAGCTACAGCCACAGACACAGCCAAATATAACGATAGAACGATCGCCTAATTTATATTTAGAAAAAGCAAAGATCTGTAAACACTGTGTACTCGTAATTTTTAGTTGAAAGTCAGAGGACAACAAAATGGCTTAGAGCTCCACTCAGTCCTGCTCCGATCTCTAGGTCATTCTGCTCTCCTCTGGCTTCTGTTGAGGCTCCGAAATTATTGAGAGTGGGTGGTGCGGAGTCCTCTCTCGTCCGACTACCCTTCCATCCTTCTTCCTGTGGCTGCTGCTGCTGCTACACCTCGGAAGAAGGTGCTGTCCGCGCATTCTGGTGTGGCCCTTGGACGAAGCGCTCTTTGAGCGAGAAGGTTATCGGGGGCACAATGATCATCGCCTCCATGAAGTTTGGAGGCTCATTTAGAGTCTTCTTTTGAGGCTTCTCTTTCTGGCTCTTCCCTTGAGGATCCTCCTTCTGGTTCTCTTCTTGAGGCATCTTCTTCTGGCCCGCTTCTTGGGGCTCCTCCTTCTGGGTCTTCGCTTGAGGCTTCGCCTTCTGGTTCTTGTTTTGAGGTTTGTACTTCTGGCTTCCCTCCTGAGGATCCTCCTTTTGGTTCTCCTCTTGAGGCTTCTCCTTCTGGCCCGCTTCTTGGGGCTCCTCCTTCTGGGTCTTCGCTTGAGGCTTCGCCTTCTGGTTCTTGTTTTGAGGTTTGTACTTCTGGCTTCCCTCCTGAGGATCCTCCTTTTGGTTCTCCTCTTGAGGCTTCCCCTTCTGGCCCTCTTCTTGGGGCTCCTCCTTCTGGCTCTTCTTTTGAGGCTTCGCCTTCTGGTTCTTGTTTTGAGGTTTATGCTTCTGGCTTTCCTCCTGAGGATCCTCCTTCTGGTTCTTCTCTTCAGGCTTCTCCTTCTGGCCCTCTTCTTGGGGCTCCTCCTTCTGAGTCTTCGCTTGAGGCTTCGCCTTCTGGTTCTTGTTTTGAGGTTTGTACTTCTGGCTTCCCTCCTGAGGATCCTCCTTTTGGTTCTCCTCTTGAGGCTTCTCCTTCTGGCCCGCTTCTTGGGGCTCCTTCTTCTGGGTCTTCGCTTGAGGCTTCGCCTTCTGGTTCTTGTTTTGAGGTTTGTACTTCTGGCTTCCCTCCTGAGGATCCTCCTTTTGGTTCTCCTCTTGAGGCTTCCCCTGTTGGCCCTCTTCTTGGGGCTCCTCCTTCTGGCTCTTCTTTTGAGGCTTCGCCTTCTGGTTCTTGTTTTGAGGTTTATGCTTCTGGCTTTCCTCCTGAGGATCCTCCTTCTGGTTCTTCTCTTCAGGCTTCTCCTTCTGGCCCTCTTCTTGGGGCTCCTCCTTCTGGGTCTTCGCTTGAGACTTCGCCTTCTGGTTCTTGTTTTGAGGTTTGTACTTCTGGCTTTCCTCCTGAGGATCCTCCTTCTGGTTCTTCTCTTGAGGCTTCTCCTTCTGGCCCTCTTCTTGGGGCTCCTCCTTCTGGGTCTTCGCTTGAGACTTCGCCTTCTGGTTCTTGTTTTGAGGTTTGTACTTCTGGCTTTCCTCCTGAGGATCCTCCTTTTGGTTCTCCTCTTGAGGCTTCTCCTTCTGGCCCGCTTCTTGGGGCTCCTCCTTCTGGGTCTTCGCTTGAGGCTTCGCCTTCTGGTTCTTGTTTTGAGGTTTGTACTTCTGGCTTCCCTCCTGAGGATCCTCCTTTTGGTTCTCCTCTTGAGGCTTCCCCTTCTGGCCCTCTTCTTGGGGCTCCTCCTTCTGGCTCTTCTTTTGAGGCTTCGCCTTCTGGTTCTTGTTTTGAGGTTTATGCTTCTGGCTTTCCTCCTGAGGATCCTCCTTCTGGTTCTTCTCTTCAGGCTTCTCCTTCTGGCCCTCTTCTTGGGGCTCCTCCTTCTGGGTCTTCGCTTGAGACTTCGCCTTCTGGTTCTTGTTTTGAGGTTTGTACTTCTGGCTTTCCTCCTGAGGATCCTCCTTCTGGTTCTTCTCTTCAGGCTTCTCCTTCTGGCCCTCTTCTTGGGGCTCCTCCTTCTGGGTCTTCGCTTGAGGCTTCGCCTTCTGGTTCTTGTTTTGAGGTTTGTACTTCTGGCTTTCCTCCTGAGGATCCTCCTTCTGGTTCTTCTCTTCAGGCTTCTCCTTCTGGCCCTCTTCTTGGGGCTCCTCCTTCTGGGTCTTCGCTTGAGGCTTCGCCTTCTGGTTCTTGTTTTGAGGTTTATGCTTCTGGCTTTCCTCCTGAGGATCCTCCTTCTGGTTCTTCTCTTCAGGCTTCTCCTTCTGGCCCTCTTCTTGGGGCTCCTCCTTCTGGGTCTTCGCTTGAGGCTTCGCCTTCTGGTTCTTGTTTTGAGGTTTGTACTTCTGGCTTTCCTCCTGAGGATCCTCCTTCTGGTTCTTCTCTTGAGGCTTCTCCTTCTGGCCCTCTTCTTGGGGCTCCTCCTTCTGGGTCTTCGCTTGAGACTTCGCCTTCTGGTTCTTGTTTTGAGGTTTGTACTTCTGGCTTTCCTCCTGAGGATCCTCCTTCTGGTTCTTCTCTTCAGGCTTCTCCTTCTGGCCCTCTTCTTGGGGCTCCTCCTTCTGGGTCTTCGCTTGAGGCTTCGCCTTCTGGTTCTTGTTTTGAGGTTTATGCTTCTGGCTTTCCTCCTGAGGATCCTCCTTCTGGTTCTTCTCTTCAGGCTTCTCCTTCTGGCCCTCTTCTTGGGGCTCCTCCTTCTGGGTCTTCGCTTGAGACTTCGCCTTCTGGTTCTTGTTTTGAGGTTTGTACTTCTGGCTTTCCTCCTGAGGATCCTCCTTCTGGTTCTTCTCTTGAGGCTTCTCCTTCTGGCCCTCTTCTTGGGACTCCTCCTTCTGGCTCTTCGCTTGAGACTTCGCCTTCTGGTTCTTGTTTTGAGGTTTATGCTTCTGGCTTTCCTCCTGAGGATCCTCCTTCTGGTTCTTCTCTTCAGGCTTCTCCTTCTGGCCCGCTTCTTGGGGCTCCTCCTTCTGGGTCTTCGCTTGAGGCTTCGCCTTCTGGTTCTTGTTTTGAGGTTTGTACTTCTGGCTTTCCTCCTGAGGATCCTCCTTCTGGTTCTCCTCTTGAGGCTTCTCCTTCTGGCCCTCTTCTTGGGACTCCTCCTTCTGGCTCTTCGCTTGAGGCTTCGCCTTCTGGTTCTTGTTTTGAGGTTTATGCTTCTGGCTTTCCTCCTGAGGATCCTCCTTCTGGTTCTTCTCTTCAGGCATCTCCTTCTGGCCCTCTTCTTGGGGCTCCTCCTTCTGGGTCTTCGCTTGAGACTTCGCCTTCTGGTTCTTGTTTTGAGGTTTATGCTTCTGGCTTTCCTCCTGAGGATCCTCCTTCTGGTTCTTCTCTTCAGGCTTCTCCTTCTGGCCCTCTTCTTGGGGCTCCTCCTTCTGGCTCTTCTTTTGAGGCTTCGCCTTCTGGTTCTTGTTTTGAGGTTTATACTTCTGGCTTTCCTCCTGAGGATCCTCCTTCTGGTTCTTCTCTTGAGGCTTCTCCTTCTGGCCCTCTTCTTGGGGCTCCTCCTTCTGGGTCTTCGCTTGAGACTTCGCCTTCTGGTTCTTGTTTTGAGGTTTATGCTTCTGGCTTTCCTCCTGAGGATCCTCCTTCTGGTTCTCCTCTTGAGGCTTCTCCTTCTGGCCCTCTTCTTGGGGCTCCTCCTTCTGGCTCTTCGCTTGAGGCTTCTCTTTCTGGCTCTTCTTTCGACGCTTATTCTTCTGGCCCTTCTTCTGTACCGCGCCCTGTGGATGCTGCTTTTGGCTGTTCTCTTGGTGCTCCTGCTGCTGAACCTTCACCTGAGGGTGCTCCTCCTTCTGGCTCTCCTCTTGAAGATCTTCCTTTTGGATCTTCGCTTGTGGATCCTCCTTCTGGATGTTTTCTTGAGGCTGCCGCTCCTGTGTTTCTCCTCGAGGTTCCTCCATTGGGGGATCCTCCTGATCCGCTACATTCTCCCCTGTTGTCTGTAAAGAGGCTTTGAAGGTTACTGACAGATCCACAACCTCCTGCTGATCCCCACTCTGAAGCACCTCGAGCACAATTGTCTCCCTCTCGAGCATCTCCTCCTTGACAATCTTGTGGACGTCCTGATGCAGCATGCCATCCAATTCCACATCAAACATGTCGCATATTTTGTCGCTGTCGATAAGAAGATTGATTTCAATGGGCACCAGCATGTAGCGCTCGCCCGTGATCGGATCCATTTGGATTTTCCCCAACTGCTGCTCGTCCTGCGGCTCGATCCGATTGATCAGCGGGCCCAAGGGTGTGGCTGTGGCCCACCTGCCGACCTCCTGCTGGTCGGCTTCAGCGAACTCCTCGACTAGGTCATCGTAGTAGCTGGCCACCACGAACTTGTGCACCTCCGCGGGCTGCAGCTGCAGATACCCCTCTTTCTGTCCAGCCTCCACCAGCACCTTGACCTGGCCGAAGGCTTCGGCCATCAGTTGCTCCTCTGTTTTCGGCAGGGTCGATTCTGCCAGCGAACTGCCCGACTCTTGACCCTCCTCCAGTACATCAGCCATGATAAATGAATCTACAAATCAATTCTTGTATGTAGTTTAGATCCGTTTGGGTTGTGGGGATAGAATGAGATTGATTGTAAGGCTCTGATTACTCCAGACTTGATCTGACTCGTTGTGGAAATATCAAGTATCAAATGAAGTGTAAATCAAAGTAGGGAAAAGTCAGGTCTCTTATGGGCCCTTACGAGTACTTGTTCAACGAATTAAGAGGGGCCTTCCAAGACCCTAGACCTACGGGAAGGAAGCGGTGGGCATGTCCTTGACGCGGCATATTGATGCTCGGACTCGGGACACACAGGCGAATGCTGGCAAAGAGAATGGCTTCAAAGGCCTGCCCACCGCTAAACGAGACTCTAGATCCAGATCCATGAATGCATGACACCCCCTCCTTCCCCGTATTACTCATAGCTACCCCCACCGATATATCGTAACTATCGTAACCTCTGTAGCACCTGTAGTGTAAACCGCCTGTGATTAACCATTAACCATTAACCATTAATCTCATGTCAAATCATTTGATCTCTTTACATGCCATCCATCCTGTTCCCATGCATTAAATATGCCATATGCCATATGCCATATGCCATATGCTGAATCTTCATAACTAATCGTAATCCTAATCTAAACACTAAACACCTAACACTAACCAACACGTGCACACACACACATTGAATCTGTATCTGTATCTGTATCTACACTCGTACTCGTACACGCAAAGTAGTTGCAAAATTAGAACCAAACAAAAGACAATAACCCGAATACCACACACAAAATCGAACCGAAAATCAAAGCACAAGCCAAGAGCAGGTCCTTGAACAGATACAATCCCCAAGGAGGTAGCTGTTTTGGTAAACCAACACATCATCTCGAATGTCGAACCTCGAAGGGGAACCCAACACGCAACTAATGAGAATCTCTCTTCTGTTCTTTGTTCTTTTTTCTTTGTTCTTTGTCCTTTGGATCTGTTTAGGATTACAAGAAACCCCTGGAGGAGTGCAACCCACCCGTTCTGAATCCAGTGAAGATCGCCACCCTGTTCCATTGCCTGCCGGACATCCTGCACTCGCACAAGCTGTTCCGCATCTCGCTGGCTGAGTGCGTGCGCAATTGGGACAGGGACGAGAAGATCGGCGACTGTTTCGTGAGCGCCTTTGGGAAGCCGCAGCTGCTGGAGATCTACTCGGGCTTCATCAACAACTTCTCGGCGGCCATGGAGTTGGCCAAGATGGAGGAGAAGCGCAAGTCCGCGCTGGCTGACTTCTTCAAGGTGAAGCAGATCAGCGCCCACGACCGTCTGTCGTTCTTCGGGCTGATGGTGAAGCCCGTGCAGCGCTTTCCCCAGTTCATACTGTTCCTGCAGGACCTGCTCAAGTACACGCCCCAGGGCCACCACGACCGCATGTCCCTGCAGCTGGCCCTCTCGCAGCTGGAGCTGCTCGCCGAACTGCTCAACGAGAGCAAGCGCGAGGCGGAGCAGTATCAGGCCTTCAAGGAGATGCTCGGCCACATCTCGGGCACCTTCAACACGCGCGCCCTCAGCAGCGTCAGCGTCAGCGCCGACGGCAGCGGTCCGCGTCCCCGGTACCTTCTGCGCGAGGACAATGTCACCCACATGGAGTTTAACCAGGCCGGGCTCATGGTGAAGTGCAAGCAGCGACGGCTGCTGCTGCTCAACGACAAGGTCATCTGCGTGTCCGTGGCTCCCAAGCAGTCGCACGACTTTGGGGCCACCGAGAAGCTCACCTTCAAGTGGATGTTCCCCGTCAACGATGTCGAGATTGTGGACAACAGCACATCGGCGACGCTGTCGCGAATCCTCACAGCAGGTGAATACATCGTACATCGAATATATATTTTCGAAGTCCTTAATCCTCAACTCTTGCATCTTGCATCGTCTCGCAGGTCTCAATCGCGGCGGCAGTCTCAAGTCCAACGGCAGCACTGGCCACGCCACCGGCAGCCCCTACGCCCACGGCACTCTTCCTGGCCATGGCGGAGCGGACAGCAGCTCTCCGGCCGCGGCTTTGACAAGCGGTGCCGACAACCTGTGCAGCGAGATGAGCACTCTGATGTACGACTACGAGGTGATCTCGCGCATCCACGATCTGGTGGGGAGCCTCAAGGGCAGCTACAAGGATCTGAATGCCAACACGACGCGCACCGTCCTGAATGCCATACAGGGCTCTATTCAGCGCAAGGACGAGGAAATGGCCTGGGTGGACTCGTGCTGTCTGCAGGTGGTCGGCCGCCACAAGTCCGGCAAGGAGGAGACCTTCACATTCCAGACGCAGAGTCCGCACGTGAAGAAGGAGTGGATCACGGAGCTGCGCCTGGCCCAGCTGGCCCTCGATCCGAACAACTCTCCCGCCTGGGAGCGTAGTGGCTCCCAGCCGGGCCACCCGGCCATGCAGTCCGCCGATCGCCAGGTGCCGCATCACACACCCGAGCAGTTGCAGCTCCAGGAGGCTATACAGCAGAAGCAGTCGCGCAAGATGCCGCTCTTTGTCAAGGCAATGCCCATCTTCAAGTCACAGCATCAATCCGAGGTGCGTACATCTCGTGGAATCACGAGCCACCAGCGGGGAGCCACTAAGGGGGTCGTGGGGAAATGGAAGACTTTTCAGGCAGAATGGCAGCACACTCGTCCTCTCTCCACTCTCCACTCTCCCTCCGTCCCTCCTTTTTTCAAAGAATAAGCTAATCTTGTGTCCATCTCTTTGAGGCATCAATAAATGAGCCTGATTTATACCCCAATATACGAGTGAGTCATCAACGATTGTAGAACACGAACAACGGGCTTCTTGAATGATCTGCAGAGAGGCCGATGGACATACTCGTAGTATCTCTCTCAGAGATGCGTCTTTGCTGCGGCACACGTCATAGCAAAATGAATTCAAATGAGTCTTCAAATGAGTACTACTTCACACGATACAACGATAACAAACCAATCCAATGCAATCCAATCCCTTTCGTTAGAACATCTTTAAAGATTCTATTGGTCAGGTGCTTTGAAGCATTTCCGGAAGACCCCAAAGAATGCACTTGGAATGCTCATAGCTTGCTTTTACCCATCTTATATCCTTTGTTTTGTTTGATTGCAGGTGCGCTGTGGATGCTATTACAGCATTGCCAACGACACGAAGCAGAGCGGCAATGCGCGACGGCGGCACAAGCAGCTGAACTACTTGTGGATGTGCAGCAGCGATGGTACCTCCTCGCACGTCGCAATCTTTGCCCAGCATCCGCAGCAGGCGGGCAATTTGAGGGAGGCCGGCGGCTTCGATCTGCAGGAGACACAGGTGTCGGCACTGGAGTTTATCAAGGGACTGGATCAGTGGAAGATCCAGCGCGAGGAGCCGGCAGCGAGCCTGCTGGGCGATCTCATTTGGATGGGCACCGACAGCCGCAAGCTGTTGATCTTTTCGGCCCGCAATCCGGAGCAGGAGGAGCAGCTCGGCAGCTACGCTGTGCCGGGTGCCGTGAAGCGGATCCTCTACCATTTTGATGCCATCTACGTGGCCCTCTCGAATGCCAGCGTCCTGATCTATCGGCGGGCCTTCGACGGGGTCTGGCAGATGCGCGATCCGCAGCTGATTGCGCTGGGCGAAACGGGTTTCCCCGTGCCCAGTCTGCTGCCGATCAACATGAATATCTATGCCTCGTGCTCGAACCGGGTGTACGTGCTGAACGCCCTCAACGGGGAGATCCAGCGGAGCTTCGAGGTGCAGCACGGGGCCACCCAGGAGGTGAACCTGATGGCCCACTCGGGCATCGGCCTGTGGATCTCGCTGAAGAACTCCACGGTGCTCTGTCTCTACCACACAGAGACGTTCAAGCACCTGCAGGATATCAATATTGCGTCCAGCGTGTTGCGCCACGATGGCCGAAAGGAGCAGCCGCTCAACAACACCTCTGTCTATGTGACCGCCCTGATGGCCTGCAAGGGCCTCCTCTGGGTGGGCACCAATGTGGGCATCGCTGTCACCATTCCGCTGCCCCGCCTCGAGGGGGTGCCCATAATCAGCGGCGGCATCAACATGTCGTGTCACGCACACTTCGGGCCGATCACCTTCTTGCTACCACTCATCCCGAAGGTCTATCCCACCTACAAGCCGCCGCTGACCGGGCTTACTGTACCGACAGTACCCAGTATGGGCGACGACCTCCAGCTGCCGGCCATCGACGCCGATCCAAAGCTGGAGATCGACGATTGCTCTGTTGTTTTGCGCCGCGATCTAAACAAGTCGGCGGATAGCTCCTCGATTCCCTCTGGCTCCGTCATGATCCGAGACCTCAGCACGGAGGCCCCAGCCGCCAGCGGTGACTCGGCCGTTCCCTCGGCCGCTTCCTCGCCGCGCAGCTCCAAGCTGGACAAGCAGGGATCGCTGGACCAGAGTTTCACGGCCAAGATCCGGGCTTCGCTGGCCAATTCGCCGGCGTTCCATCGCAAGCGGTTCCGCGATCTGGGCGCAGCCCAGGATGCCAGAATGTCCAAAACTCTACCACGGGGACACGGCTCGACGGGTGGAGCGGCTGGAGGCGGCGCATCAGGCGCTTCTGGGAGCGCTGGAGGGGGTTCAGGCTCGGGCTCCCAGCATGGCAGTGAGCAGGGCTACTGCGATGTGTACGGACTCTATGGCAAGCTGATCTTCGTGAAGGAGGACTACGATGCCGAGGAGGGGACGCAGGGCAATCTCATGGACATGATGTACGAGGGAATGCGTCGATCCGATCCCGAACTGGCGGCAATACCCGGCAAGGTGTGCACCCTGGATCGGCGCCTGCGCATGAAGGCCTCTAGGCCGCGCTCCCTCGATCTCTCCAATTGGTCCGTGGACTCCAAGTCCTCCAGCCTATACACGTCGTCGGGCAGCGAGGAGAGCATGGGCATCCGTCTCTTTGGCGGCCGATCGGTCTCCCGCAACAGCAGCAGCGCCAGCCACAAGACATCCGGCACTGGCAGCGACCTGGGCAACATCTCCGAGAACGGCCTCATGACCACCGCCGACATCCATCATCATCAGCAGCAGACCCAGACCCAGACCCAGCACAGCACTCCCAATAAAACGGAGAACACCTTGGGAGCAGGAACCTCAGCAGCAGCAGCAGCAGGAGGTGCAGGAGCTGCTGGACAGTCGGCGGACAAGCCAGCGGCTGCCGTGGCCACACTGAAGCGCAAGCAGAAGCAGAACACCAAGCAGCAGCAGCAGCAGAGCGCCGACGGGCCGCGCACCGTGATCACCCTGATGGGGGGACGCGGCTACTGGCGCCACTTGTGGCAAAGCCCAAACTCATCGCCCAGCCACAAGGGTGGCAGTGGTGGCAAAAACGAGGCCTCTGGCTCCGGCTGCGGACCGAGCGGCTCGGGGAATGCTGGCGGCAGTGGGGGATCCTCGCCGTCGAGTCCGTCACTGACGGCCAACTCCAATGATGCGCACATAGTGGTGTGGGAGAAGAAATTATAAAATCAGGAGTTGGTGTGCTGCTGCACCCTTCAGCAGCAACCCCACCAGCACCATCCGCCCCTCACGGAGCTGTGGCGCCGCATGGGAGAGCAGCAGCAACAGCAGCTGCAGCAGCAGCGGCGGGGACGCGCACGTGTCCGCTTCCGCGGATCGTTTATGCAGCGCGATCGCAGCGCCGGCAACGAGGGCGGGGCCCTTCTTCCCAGCACCAGCACCGGCGGTGGATCCGGAGGGATACTGAGCTCCAGCTTGAAGCGGCTCACGAAGCTAAAGCGGGGCGGCAGCTTGAAGGAGTTTTAAAATGGCAGGATGGAATGGAACGGGACAGAGTCCTGCAACCACTACCACAACCACAACCACAACCACAACCATAAACATAACCGATAAACATAACCGCTTTTGGTGTACAATTTAGGCCAATATTTAAGGCACAAAGTCCGCGGCCACATATTACTTGTGTAGTAGTTTTTGAAGGGTTTCCCCATAAAGCTTTGGGATTCCCCAAAATATCGAATATATTTATTACAATATATAGCGAATCGTTCTGAACAAAACAGCATCCCAGCCCCATCCCACACTCGATCCATTATGCATTAACTCCATTATCTGCACTATCTGCATTATCTACATTATCCATTTGTTTCCTTCTCGCTTATTCTTATTTTTTAATATCTAAAGTAGCCATACGAAAATGTGTTTTTTTTTTAGTTTTTATATATTTAGTAAATAACTGAATATCCAAATATACACGCGTGTTTTTTTTTGTCGATAGTCGTTTAAGATCTACATGTTATATATCAACTATATAGAGTGCTAAGGAATATACAAATACATATACAGATACATATACATTTATATCTATATATATATATATTGATATTGATATGGATATATCTATAATCTACAGATCTAGGCTAAGAAAAGGGAGCGGCAAAGCCAACAAAGCTAAAGGAAATGAGAAATGTTGTCTGTACAAACCATTTGTTGTTAAGGTAGTAGCTGAAACAGAATGAAACCGAAAAAGTAAATGATAAATGATAAATAGGAAGCGTGAATGAGAAGAGAGTTTCTATACAATATACATATGCGACACATATGAGTAGGGACTGGCCGGATTGTGTGAACGAGAGAACAGTGCTATAAGATATATGGATGAAAGTGTTTGTTGAACTGATTATTATTGAACTGGCAGGAGGATCAAACATACATTTGTATTTATATGCCTCAGAAAGAGTTAATTTTTTAGATCACATACTAAATACTCTATATTGTTGTGTAGCGCAGTGTACCGTGCTTTTGTCCTCTTGTCGTCAGTGTCGTAATTTTGTTGAATTGAATATACATACACATTCGGAGGCATTTCCTCATACGATTTCATAACGAAATTAGTCGAATCTTTGTCCCCCCACCATTATGGGGTTATGGGGCACATACTCTTATATGCATTGGATGTGCACACGAACCACGGAAACGGCAACAATTTATAGAACTCTATGTGTCCACGAATATTTGTAAACGTTTACAACAAACAAATTAAACAAGTAAAACAAATGATTTTTTTCAACTAAGGCACTTGGTAATAATATACAACTGAAACAGAAGACGGAAAACAGAAGGAGGAATATCTTAAATATATACAACACATATACAATACTTATATACGATTTACATATATATATACAATACTTATATGAAAAATATACATGAGTGTTTAATAAAAACATATTCATCTGATAAAAAGAAAAATAACAACAAAAAGCGAAAAACCACAAAACAAACGAGGGTCGAATCGAATCGAAATGTATCCGTTTAATCAATTATATTTTTTGGTTTTTTTTTCGGTGGATATCTTTTGGATATATGTATGTAAGTCAAGCATAATGAAATTATGTAACTTTTTTGATATCACACACACATACATATGTGCGTTAACGCGTTAACGCACCCTCCCTTACATGCATAGTAAAACATCTACATCAATATACGCGTATACGCGAAATATATTTACCTAAATATCTACACAACAAATATTGTATTGTATACATCGTATACGTATATAGATGGCATAATTATCAGCAAGACGGAACATCAATTGCTTTCTCTGTGTATTAACAACAACAATATTATACGAGTTACATATTTATGCATGCAAAAAACAAAGAAAATGTATTAAAAATAGTCAAAAAAAAATATATATACATTTATTCGCATTTTTTATTTTCGAGCAATCTCCAATGGTATCATTAAAATTTAAACTACAAAGGCCCAACAGACAATGGTCTGCGATCTTTTCAATGTAGAAAATTCTCTCCTGAGCAAAAGATTCGCGGTTCCAGCAAAGACAATGTAATAAGCTGTAAGCTGAGTAACGACCATAAATTTTCAATAACGCGGGCATAAAAAGCCCATGCAAGCAGGCAAAGCTCAGCCTCAGGTTCCAAGCGCTGTTTTGTTGCTTTAAAAAACAAAATTTTGGAGCGCCTGCGTCCACTTTCAAAAACGACACTGACAAAAAGTCGTGCAAAAGTATGAATGGTCGTTTAAATTTCTCTAAAACCGTATTGTATATTAGACAATATACAGTCAATTTCAAGATTGTCGCTGCCATACATTTTCGTCCTTTCTGGGGGCGGGGGGAAATTTGGAAAAAAACTTGTAATATCTTGTGACATCACAGGAGTCTGTATACAAAATTTGGTTGCTTGAGCTCTTATAGTCTCTGCGATCTCGGCGCTCCTCGCGAGGGACCGACAGACATGGCTACATCGACTCGGCTATTGATGGTGATCAAGAATATATATGTACATATACTTTTTGCGGTCGGAAACGCAACCTTCTGGGTGTTACAAGCCCAATTTCCCCACAAATCTAATATACCTCTAAACTCTTTATGGGTATCGGGTATAGCAAGAAAATATTTTCGGCCCCGCTAAATGCTTCGGTGGCGACACCCGGCGGCGAATTCGGCAAGTCTACCATTATCTACATGCCGTTCTACATTTCATTGTAAATTCTACTGGGATGAACTGGCATACCGACTGTACGACCGAAACATCCCATGTTCGCATATACAGAATAGAGATATAGTTCTAGTTTTGTTCAGTTTAGATAATAAAGTGTAATACAAACGACCATTTGTACATTTGACTATTAGCACTAACCAATTAGTATAATTTATGGATAGTGCTATTAAGAAGTCGCATGGCCATTCACTTGGTCCGTTGCGCGATCCAAGAAGGTCCGCTGCACTTTTAACAGCAAATTTGTGCGTTTTTGTTTTCTCGAATCTTTAATATTGTGCATGCCACAGATCTTCGTCCTTTGTGGGGGCGGAAGTGGGCGGGGCTAAGCTTTGAAGTATACTTGTAGCAGTGACATCACAGAATCCCAAAGCTACGGCCATGTCGGAAGTATTTGTTTAAATTGAAATAAAATTATTTGGCGGCGGTGGTTGCGGCGGTTGCGGCGGCGGTGGCAGCCGCCCCCCAGGCTGCTGAGTTCTGCATCGTTATTAAGGGCCCCTCCGGAACACTGTGGTCTCTGGGCCACTGATTCCAGATTCTGAGCGTCAAAATATGCAATATTTTACAAAAATTCAAGCTAGAACAAGCTACAAATAGATATATAGATTTCTAATTGTGTTATTATTTCATCTAACTCGCTATTACTCGAATCGGTATATTTATCGCTGGAACGTGTTGAATTTAAATATTTCCCGGTGATTGGTGGTTGTGGCAACATTTGGCATGACGGCGCAATCCATATTCGTTAAATTTCAAAAGAATTTTAGTCGTATGCATCAAACAAGACCCCTTGAAAAAGCTGTAATAGCTCTTGTGGAAAGGACAAGAGAGTTGGTCATTATGCGCAGTCGCATCGCCATTCACTTGGTCCGTTGCGCGCGGAACCACCGCGGATCCTCAGCGGTCACATAGATATCCCCACAAACACAAATTCCTCATTCTCCAACTCCATAGAATTTCGTGTGGTCCTTTATCGTCAGTGCATGCATGCTTGTTGATGCGGAAGGTTGTTCATGGACGAATTTTGTTAACCCTTAACCCTTGTGTCCCGAAAACAACAAAATTAGATATTGCAAATTATATTATATATATGTATATTATATGTATATATGTATGTATATATAGCATATAAAAAAAATAACATAGAATAAGAAGCAATATTTATATATTATGTAAAAGATACATTTTAATATAACTAAAAATGTTGACGAAAAAGTATTAATGCCTGCAAAAAATTTAAATATGAATATATAATAACATCATTTTATTTTAAAATTTTAAACACCACGGGTCTGTTAAGGGTTAATCAACATATGCCATCTCACTCACACTCACTACTATGCGCCTTTCACTCGCATTTATAGCTAACATACGTTAAGGCATGGCCCTTTTCCGACGAGACCAGCTTGTATTATTCCATCATGGTGTAGATGCTACAACTTCTCTCTCCCTCTCTCTCTCTCACTTTTCTACGTAGCAGTAAAGGGTGGGTTTTCATGCATACATACATATGTATGTGTGTGTGCTTTTCGAAGCCACGAAAAATGCGGAATGACAACAGCGCAGTCGCGACCGTGTAGAAATTAGTAATAAGGTGATGTCATGGTGAATGTACTAATACGGTGGTGTCATCACAGCATCTGCTCTCTTATTTGTAGATCCTTTATACATATGCTTATTTTGTTTAATAAAACATATATATGAATATAATGAGGGGACATACATATGTAAATACATATGTACAAATAAATCATGAAAAACGTGTTGAACCGTGTTTTTAATATTTTTAACGGTGCGGGGTAGTGCGTGCTGGAACTTTTTACTTAGTGCCACGATGAGTCGTGCCAAACTATTTCAGTCCTTGCCCATCTCTAGTACATATATATGTATGTGTGTTGCCCATAGCCCATTCCCATACACGCACATATACATACATTACGGCAAAGCAGAGTCTCCGCCATTTTGACGCGGCTGCGTCGCCGACTGCTGCTTTT